ACCCCCGACGTGCTGCTGCCCCGCCGGGGAGAGCCCGGCCCGCAGCCCCCGGCCCGCAGCGCCCGGCGGGGCCACGAGCATCGCTTTGTTCGTTCGCTCTCGGTGGGCTCTGCCGGCGACAGGAGCGCGGTGCCACGTCTGAAGTGGCAACTTCACGGGGGACGAAGGTGTGAGCGTGTGCGAGTCCGGCTCTCGGCCCCGCACACGCCAGAGCCCGGCCAGAACGTGTCTGGACATCGAGAAGGTGTTGCCCACCTGACGGGTGCAGAGCTCTGCCCCTTCACTGCTCTCTCTCGGGTGGGTTACGCACACCTTCCTTCTGCTGCACAGGCTGCCCTGGAAATCACCCTAGAAATGGGGCCAAATACAGTGGGGAAAAAGCGTTGCCATCCTAAGGAGAGCGCCCGCATTGTTGGGGAGCTACAGCAGAGCGAACGGGGGGGTTTAGCCATGATTTCCTCCTGCAGCCGCACTCTGCAATTAGTTACGCAAGGAGGTTGTAGGCAAGTATTTGGGTTGCTGGTTTTCTCCCGTTTGGAAGGGGATGGAGAGAATCCAGCACCCGAAAATATTTTCCTTTGGAAAACCAAGGGGAGAAATATCTACACCATTTTTTATCGTGTTATCCTGCCTTCCAGCCCTGACTCTCATCACTGCGAGTTGACAAGTCGGTCCTGCCTCCACCTCATCTGAGCGACACGCCAGATGAATGGGAAGCCTTCCTGATCAGCTAATGCATTTGTGTGGAGGGAACGTGGCAGCACACCAGTTTTATGTATATGAATTAGGGAGTGGGAGGACAAGAGCTACAAACCTCGAGAAATACAGCGCTCTTCCCGAGCAGTGCGTGGATGGCTGCAGGTGCTTGTGTGCCTCCGCTGCTCAGCATACCAACGCAGAGATGCTTTTCAGCTGCTCGTCCTTTTCATAAGAACTGGGAAAGCAAAAAGCAAATACAAATTAAAAGCTGGTCTTTATTTCCCAGAGACCTCGGCAAATTGCTCAGACTGAAGCCTATAAACATAGAAGAGCTCCAAAGTTAGATGCTTGGTTTCAGCATGCAAACTATGCTTTTCTTTTCAGTTGTAGTTTGTAGGTCTATCAGTGCCTTTGCAAAATCACCTTCTAAATGAATGCCTCCATTAGGGATGGAAGAATGAAGTCAGGTAAACTCAAAAGCAGAGTGAAGCCTCGTGCAGAAAAACTGGATCGAGCATTTAAGTTTAATGAGGTTCAACAAACTTCTCATTTAAAATATATGTTTGTACCTCTGGGCTTTGGGGATTTGGACAGAGTGGGAAAATGAGATACTGAAACAGCAGGAGAGAAGCTATTTCCATAGCTTTTTAAACCTATCAAGCCTTAATTAATATTATTTATTTGTATTACTGTATTGCCTGAGAGAGCTGCTTAGGGCTCGCTCGCCATAGCAAAGAGCAGGGGAAGGGCTGGGTGGGCTGTAACCGGGGCAGGGTTCCCACTCGGCACAGAAATACCCCCTTCAAGTGCTCCCAGTCCAGACGTGCAACAAGGGACGGGATGAATGGCGGTTGCTCTGGTGGGTTCTCAGCCAGCAGAAAGGGGACACACAGCTGCAGGGTTCTCCATGGGCTGGGAGCCACCGCCCTGCGGCAACCCTCCCGTGCAGTCCTATTGATTGTGCAAGGTAACAGTACATTAACAGAATTTATTGATAAAATCTCTTGCTCCTCTTCCTCCCCCCTCATTTTTGCAAAGAAAATGTCTGTTTCCGTTTCTACTGCCCTGTGAGAAATAACTCAGGCTCCTAAAGGGTTACAGAGAAGCATCCAAGGCAGACAATCATTTTCTGCCCAAGCTCTCTTCTTTAGTTTAAAAATGTTCTTTATTCTTTTGAAATGCATGAAGTAGATTGTGGGAGAGCTAATATTATATTCCACTACTGAAAGCTGGTGGAGTATTTTACACTGATGTCTGGCTCTAGTGATTTTCTAAGGATTTTGAATTCATTAAATGCAACCATTGAATAATCTCCATTCGTGGCGGAAGGAAGGCAAAAGTGCTTATGCTCCTCAATAGCACAAAAGCGTGTAGTCTTTTCTTAAATCCGAAAGCTATCTGACCCACTATATGTAGTAAAGGTTGCCCATCATGTAACCTTTGATTTGCAACTTGCTTATAACACAGCCTTATAATACTGCCATTGAAGGTAGCAGTGAAGCAGCCTTGGCAGGGTGTTTTGCACTGCAGTAGCATCCTCCGTCCTCGATCAGAATTAGGACCCAATTGTTCCAAGCTCAGACCAGAGACGGAAGCTCACCACAATGAGAAGAGAAAGCCCCACAGCTTCTCCCTGTAATTTAGCCCCCCCGAGACGACGCTGTGCAAGGGCGAGTGTCCAAACCCAGAAATATTTTTTACACTGGAGAAACAGAAACTTGGAATTGTTTTAATTCCTTGATGTTGATGTTCAAAGTTTGAAATGAAATCCTGTGCCTGATAATTTTATTTCTGAACTGAGTAACAGTTACTTTGGAGATGAAACTTTGGCTTTAACTGAATTCAATGAGAGCTGTCACTAATAAAATCCTGCCCCAGAGACACCGCTGGTATCAGAAGAAAACTGCAAGACATTACCATTTAGCATTACTGCTTCTGCTGCTAAGTGTCAAACACATTGACTTTAATAGATCAGGCTTTTTTTTTTTTTTTTT